CCTACTAACCCACTTACCTTGGCGCGGCAGCGCGATGGCGGGCGTCGGCAGGCGTCGGGGGGCGACGACGGCGTTGGCAGGCGTTGGCGGGCGTTGGCGGGCGATGGTGGAGCTCCGTTGAAGTGACCCATCGGGGGCTGAAGTGAGGCATCGGGGGCGAAGTGACGCGTCGGGCGGGAAAGGCCACGGGGGAGAGGACGAGGGCTGATGATTCCCGCTTTGAACAATTCAAAATCGCGGCCCATCTGGGCCGTTGATCCTGGAGATCGACAGCGCAGATGGGCCCCGATTTCAAATTGTTGAAATCGGGCCTACCGGCCCTTTTTTTTGTGGTTTGTTGGCCTCGACGGCCTCCTTTGGGGGGAAGAAGGCCCCCCGCGTCGAAAACGGCCTGAAACTCCCCTCCTTCTGGGATGCGCGGGGGTCGGCCGGTGGCCAACCGGGCGGAACAACCGGCCAGGCGACCCGCCGCCCCCCCCCCCGGGCGACGACCAGGTCGCCGGGCGGCCCGGGGTTCAGCCTAGGGAATTTAGGAATTTTGCAATTAGGATTTTCTTTTGCCGCGCGGCGCTTTTTGCTTACGCGCTTCCTTGTGCGGCTGCAACGGAACTCTGATTAGTCGGCGCCCTTAATTGTGTGTGTAACTGTAATTTTGGGCGGGCGCCATTGTAACTGTATCTTTCTTCTTGAACTTTGTCTTTCCCGCTCTCGCTTTCTCTTGCTGTGTCTAGCCGGCCCGCGGACTGCATGCTCGAATCAATGCGTGGAGAGAGGCTACGTCCCCCACGCCGTGATCTGGCCATGCAGAAGGCAGACGCTCTCTCTCCTAATCTCCTTTCTAAGTCCTTGCAATTTCGTGTTCCTCGCGCATGCATACACGCTATAAATTCCGGCTGCGTGATTAGATAGCTCTCTTAATAGTTGTTGGAAGCTCGGGGAGCGCGATCAGTGAGGGTCGGCTCGTGAGCGAAGTAAGAGGTGAGTTGAAGTGGGAGTCGGGCGACCCGACGAGCTGGTGCCGAACGCGCGGGGTTGACGCGGGCCACGACGGACTATGGGCGCGGGGGAACCTGACGGGTGTGGGAGGACTAAGCGGGGTGACGACTTCGTGGGTCGGTGCGTGACGACGGACTGTCCGCATCGGAGAGAGAGAGAGAGAGGGAGTTGAGGTTGATGGACGTGGATTTGCAGTTTTCTTTGTCTGATCTCCCTCCTTGCTTTTGTATATAAATTTTGATCTCGGCTCAGGGCGATTCGCCCGTTTTCTTTTGTTTTCGGAATCTTGGTCTGGTTTCCACCCACACTCGTTTTTGCGACTGGTCTCGATCTCGTTTATCGTGTGTTATATCGAATGAATGGATGAAGGGATGTTATGTCTGTTTGCTTTTCTTTTGTCTGGTCCGTGCCTTTGCTTGTCGTTTTGATACACTCATGAGCATAGTAGGAATTTTGCGTAGTCATCAATACTGCTTCCATCGCTATTTATCCCCTTTTTGAGCTACTGTTGTTGCTGCACCTTGCATGCTCGGGAACGATTGCGTGCGGATCACGGAGTGATTAGATGATTGGGTAGTTGTGTGTCCAGAAACTAGCGAATACCTCGCGGGGATGCGTGTAAGAGCGATCTGATCTGCGCAGCCTACATGTATCCACGCGCGCCGATTCGCCACCATTGACGAACTTGACACCTTCGACATCGGGTAGGCGGGAATTTTCCTTCCCCCACGCACCTAAACGGATAGGAATTTCCGATATCACATCGGAAATTCCCCTGCCGATGAGGCGCGTGCGGGAGGGTTCTATCACAC